TTAAAAAACTAAACTCTTTAATAAAAATAAATTCTTAGCTAGGGGATATATATAAAAAAAAATAGAAAATTAGTAATTAATTTAATAAACTTATAAGATCTTATAGGGGGCTAGCCCTTTAAAATAGAGTTTATATTAGTATTTAATAAATATAAAATTTACTTAAGAGCCTTATTTAATACGGGAGCTAATAAATATAAATTTATAAATAACTACGTAACCCCTCTATTATAATAGTTTTACGTAGCCCTATTTTATAAATTATTATACTCGATCCTTATTATTAGGTTTAATAAGGAGTAATTAGATAATATTAACGTAATATAAACTACTAACTTATATATTAATTAATAAGTTTTTTTTAAAAATACCCCTTTTTTAGCTTAATACGGGCCGCTATAACTTAATTTTAAAGTAAAAGTAGTTCGAATATTACGAAGTAAACCTTAATATTCGCTATTAATAACTAATATAGCCTAAGGACTTATTATTATAAGAGACGCCCTTTATTATTATTAAAAATATTAAGGACCTATATGCCCCAAAAGTTATTAATATATAATACTAAATCAATACTAACTAATAATAAGACTTATTTAAAATAAATATAACCTACTATAATTAAAAGCTCTAGTAGTAATAAGTAAAAAGTATACTAATTAAAATATTATTATGCTTACTAAAGACAATAGCTTATTAAATATAATAGTTAAATAAGGTTAAAAATATAAAGAAAATAGAACGTACCCTTAATAATATTACTATTACCCTTATAAAGAGGGCTAAATAGTAATAGCTATATTTAGTAATAATATAAATAGATATTACTTTTATCGGCGCTCTTATATTTAAAAAGAACTTATAATAAAACGATATTAAAATAAGCTTTATATTATTTTATAAACTAAACTATATTATAAAGGATAAAAAAGAGGAAATAGACCCCTTATATAACGATAACTAAGTTATTTATAACTTTATAATAACGAACTTATTAAAGTATTTATAGCCCTAAACCGACGTTTTTAATAAAGTAACTAGTAATATATTAGCACTTTATAAACTATATAATTATAAAATTAAGTTTTTAAATAGTAATAAAGAGAAGCTAACTTACTACCCTTTATATAAGTAGTTAATACTAGAGCTAAAGGCTATAAGAGCTTATTTATTAAAATATTTATAAAAAGGATTTATTAAACTAAATAATACTCTTTTTATATTACTAACGCTATTTATAAAAAAGCATAATAGTAATCTACGCTTCTATATTAACTTTTATAAGCTTAATAAAGTTATAAAAAAAAACTATTACTTATTACTACTTATTAATAAAACCCTCGCGTAGTTAAGTAAGGTAAAAATATTTACTAAACTAAATATTAAATAGGTTTTTTATTATATTTACCTCGACCTAGTTTTTAAGAACTTAATAACGTTTAAAACTTATTACGGAGTATATAAATATAAAATAGTACTTTTTAAACTTTATAACGGGCTAACTACGTACTAATAATATATAAATAAAATATTAATAAAGTACTTAAATAATTTTTATATAGCGTATATAGATAAAATCCTAATTTTTTTTAATAACCCCCTTTAGTATTAAGAATACGTTATTAAAGTACTAGACTACTTATAAAAAGTAAGCTTATAAATAAATATTAAAAAGTACGAGTTTAGTATTATTTTTATAAAGTACCTAGGCTTCGTAATTTTTATAAAAGGTATATAGCTTAATAAGGAAAAAGTCTTTATAGTTAGAGATTAAAAGCTACTTATATTATTTAAAAATATTTAGTTTTTTTTTAAGTTTTATAACTTTTATAAAAGGTTTATAAAAGATTATAGCTATTTAGCTAGGCCCCTTATAAGATTAATAAGTAAGGGAGTTCTTTTTAATTTTAATATTAATTATAAAACGGCTTTTAAAGTTATAAAACTAGTATTAATATTAGCGCTTATCCTCTACTATTTTAAATTAGAATTATTAACGTAATTAAAAACTAATATTTTTAACTTAGTATATACTAAAATATTATTATAATAATAAGAAGATAATAGGCTATAGTACTTAATTACTTTTTATTTAAAAATTATAAATAGTATAGAGCTTAATTATACTATTTATAATAAAAAAATATTAATAATAATACTATATTTTAAAAAATAGCGCGCAGAGTTAGTAAGTTATAAATATAAGTTTAATATTATTATAAACTATTAACTATTACTATTTTTTATAACTAAGCGCCTACTTAACTTATAATAAGCTTGCTAAGCTAATACGTTAATAAACTTTAATTTTTAAATTTATTACTACTTAAGGAAAAAGAACGTACTAACTAATACCTTATTATAAAAAACGGAGGATATTCGTACTTAGTAAGTATTAAAAAAGATTAATAAGACCTAAGTCCTCTTATTACTAAGATTACTATTTCTTAATATTATAATAGAACTATAAGTATTATTAAGTACTATTATTAATTAACTATAGCTCGTAATTAGCTCGCTTATATTAAAAGACGAACTCTAGGGGTACTTATTAATAAAAAAGATTTTAAAGTTTAATAAAAACCTTATTATAACGTCTTTTATACTAATACGAGTATTAGTTACTAAAGGGCACAAGCGCTAGTTTATTTAAAATAACGGATTATTAATAATAAACGAGAAACTCGTAATACCTAAAAAAAAGAACCTCCGTACTATAATTATTTATAAAATTTATAAATAAAAGCTCTTTACTTACTTAGAGCATAATAAAGTTATAAAAATAATTAAATAGTAATATTACTAACTAAGCTTAATAATAAATACTTATTAATATATATAGAATTATTATACTTATTACTAATTATAAAAACCGTATAATAAGCCCCTAGGAGAGCTAAGACCGCTCTTAGTACTTAATTACTTATAATAATATATTTTTATAAACTTTATAACTATCCTTATTAATTAAAAAAAATTTAATAATATCTAAGTAATAATAAACTACTTAAATAAGAGGGTAATATCTATTCTTTATTATAAAACCGTTATAATAAAAAATATAAGCTAAATATTTTACGAGCGAGTACTATTTATTTTTAGCTTATTAAAAACTATTATATTAAACCGAGGCCCCTAATTTATTTTTAATTTTTAAAAAGAGCTTTATAAAATTTACGAGGTTAAGCTATAACTATTAATAGCGGACTATTTATAAATAAATAGCTAAATAGAAGTACTAAACTAGTATATTTTATAATAACTAAGATTACTAATTAACTAGTACTAAAATAACTAAAGTAATATATTACCCGTAATTAACTTTATTTATATTACTTAGCTTAGTAAAACTATAGGGCTATTATTATATAAAATAAAATTCGGCCGTTAACTACGGCTTTTTTTTAACTAGTTTAAATAAACCCGCTAATTTAGCTTTATAAAAAAGAAGTTAAACTATATTAACGCATAGCATATAGTTTAAAAAATATACGAGGCTTAGGAGATTACTAAGGGTAATATAAAAATTATTTAGGTACGATATAAGAAATATACTAACTATTACTAGCGCCTAAATAACTTAAAGCTAAGAAATTAGGTCTTTATTAATACCTCGTATTAAAAATTTATTAATATAAATAAGTTATAATAGCTATAGGCTAGATTATAACTTATTATTAGCACTAGCTAGGGGGGTATATAAATTATAAAATTATTAATAAGTAGCTAAGTATACCTAGTCTTTTACTTAAATAAGCTAAAAAAAGCTATTAACGACCTATTACTTAGATAGAACTAAGACCTACTACTACTAAATATTAATAATAATAATAAGTTAGAGTACGAGGTTTTTAAAGTTATTAAGTTATACTTATATAAAAGAAAGTTATAATACTAAGTAGATTAAAAAGAGTATAATACGGATCTAACTTAGTATAATATAAAAAGTTTTTAATACGTATTAATAGCGCTCTAAGCGTTTTATTATTAATACTTAATTACTAAGGGCTTATTATAAAACCTAAACTTATAAATAAAAGCTACCGTAATTAATAACTTATTACTACTATAAAATAATAATAATATAATAGTAATAATTATAGCTATAGATTTATTAAATTAAGAAGTAATTTAGAAATTTATTTTTTAATATTATAAATAGTGCCCTTTAATATAGAAGAGGGGGTAATATTACGATAATAAGTATTAAAACCCTATAAGCCCCGTAGTTTAGCCTTAGGTTACGAAGCTAAGCTCTTAATAATTACGTAACGAGCTAAACCGCTAGGCCTAAAGGGCTAGCTCGCTAGCTTCTACTTACTATTCTATTTTTTCCCTCTTTATATTAAGTCTTTAGTTAATTAGGTTAATATAGCAGCGTTCTAACTTACCTCGAATTTCTTTTTATAATAATAATAATAGTAATAATAATAATAGTAATAATAATAATAGTAATAATAATAATAGTAATAATAATAATAATAATAATAATAATAATAATAATAGTAATAATAATAATAGTAGTAATAATAATAATAATAATAATAATAATAATAATAATAATAATAATAATAATAATAATAATAATAATAATAATAATAATAATAGTAAAACACGAGACGGCTTGCCTGCCTTCGGAAACAGCGGTCCAGACATGCCATTTTCGGCACCTGCCACATCGGGTAATTCTCGGCCACACCATCCCTCGCCGTTTTTGCAAGCCCATAAAGGAGCGCCTGCCCCGCCCAACGCGCCGAAGTACCTCGAAGTTCCCTTTGTATCACTTCTTCCTCACTGCATTTGTTTGCGCCACTTAGCTCTCTCATCGGCCCCAGCCACATACGCCTTCCATCGCGATGCTCACACAACGTTGACCTTTCTTGAACTCTTGTCCTTCACGACAGTTCAAGCAACAAACCAAGATTTCTATCAAAGCCAACTGAAGCTGGCTGGAGGTAGACTCACGTCCTTGCTTCCAATTGCCCGCAGCGGGTGTGCCGATGTCAGGTGCAGCACGCCCTATCCAGTAGGCTTCGGTCTCTCCTGCTGCAATAGTGTTGCTAATTCCTTCAGTGTCCAGCCGTTTCTAGCAATTCCGTCTACCTCGTCCGGTATCTTGCGCCTGCCCCTCACGTTGATTACCGACATCGAATATCAAGAACGCCTAGCGAAGCGCTCAGCGGGCACATTACCCATCCTCGTGGGCCCCTCTACCTGCCTGCCATGTTCCCCTCGCCTTGCCGTCAGACCCAAAATTGCCTCTTCTGGAAATCTGGGAGATGAATGGCGATCACGGGTGGCGCTGTGAGATCATACGACCTTGAATGATGGTCCGAGACGTCGCATCATTTCGATGTGCTGTGTCAGGCATCATGACGAGCGCCCGAGGGAAGGCCCTTGGTCTGAGCCCTTCCTCTGGCGAGGGGAGGCAAGTGTCGATCACGAATTAGCATGTTTGGGAATTACCAATCCTTCCACCTTAGCAGCGGTTGGAGCATTGGCAGCAGTGGCGAGAAACTCAGCGCATGCCGCGGAAACTGGTTTTCAGCTTGCCTGCGAGCCAAGAGAGGGCGATGTCTGCCTCACCATGGGATTCCTGCACTTCGAGGACGCATTGGTCAGGGGTTATGATGGCTGGCGCCGACAAAATTACCTTGTTGGGCAATTCACGTCTCGACTGCAGCCTAAAGTTGTCGCCCGCCTCAGCAAGATAACAGCGACAGGAACGGCCTCGTATATCCGAGATGAAGCACGCCAAACGCTCTGCTGCTGAACGATAGCCTGCTCCTCAAGGCGGTTCAGCTTATGCAACGTTAGTCCGGGCCTGGGATATGGATCGAGAAGCAATCTTCCACCGAGACTACCAGAATGAGCCTATGCCGGCATCTCGGAATGTTTAGCCATGGTGGGGCTCTTGGGAACGGCTGTGAACAGTCGCGGAAGTCTCCATGATACCGCAATCTCCCAGGGGACGGCGCCACAAACACAACGGCACTCTTGCAAGAGGAGGGGTGAGGGCTCGCCGACGATGACATTGCCGAATTTGGATGATCTCGTGCCATAGGCAGAACAGCCATGCCTTGAAGCTCGTCGTCTCCGTGCCCGTGTCCAGGAGCAGGAAAGATGGATGGCCGGACTTCATTCAAGGGTTACAGTTAAGCCGGCTTCTTGGCTCAACGAAATAGCCTGAAGAGGCAATTCTCGTGTCAACATGCCAGGCATCCGGCTCTGCCTAATCTCGGCTCTCGACGGAGTGGCTCTAGCACTGGTTGCATTGCATATACGAGACGATGGGCGCCAGGAAGCTCGAGGACATCCCGAAGCGCCGGCGCAATATTCCTAAGATCATTCGACTACGAGCTCTGTCTCATGTTCCAACAGAATGAGCCTATTGCACAGCTTGTTTGGCACCATGCACGACGCATCGTGCAGTTAGCCCGGACAATAAAGGGGCAGATGACCTTCTCACCCATGCTTAGGCATGGGTGATTGCGCCAGTTAGAAGGTTCACCGGGCTCGACGGAGGGTCGAGTTCAGCTGGACAGGCCTCTTTCGGCGCAATTCCAAGGCCGAACGCCCGCGTCAGTGAATGGGTGTAGATTTTGGACTGGCAACTATGATCCATGCC